CACTGGGGGTCGACCCCCAGTGAGGTGGCGCTCCGTGATTGGGTAAAAAAAAATTATTATTATTTTTTTTTTGTAAGTTTCAGCCAGTGGAGGCTCGCCACCTCACTGGAGGTGCGACCCCCACTGAGGGTCTGTAGCAAAGTTGTTGTTAATTATATATATCCAAGTAACGCTTAAGCAACAAGTTTTATATATATATAAAGAGATATGGGGAATCAAATGTGGTCTAGAGAATATTCCTTGGTAAGTTGGGACCACTTAACTAAAGTCTTGCTTTGTTTTTCTTCATCATAAGAGATGGCAATTTAAACTTAATCCGATGGGATTTCACCTTCTAATCCCGATTAGAATGGATTTTCTCCGAAAAATATCCGATGGGATTCCACCTCCTAATCTCGATTAGAATGGATTTTGCAAGTGGTGGCAAGTGGCGGCGAAAGACTGTGGTGGAAAGTGGTGACGGTAGGTGGTGGGTAGCTGGTGGTGGTAGGTGGTGGCAGATGGGTGGTGGTGGTGGTAGCGGCGGGTGGGTGACAGGTGGCTGGTGGTGGCGGCAGGTGGTGGATGGTGGGTGGTGAATGGTGGTGGCAAGTAGGTGGCCAAGTCTTTGTACCGATGGTGGATGATGGTGGCAGGTGGATGGTGAGGGGTGGTGGCAGGTGGTGGTGAGGGGTGGGTGGTGGTGGCGGAAGATGGTGGTGGAAAATGGTGGCGGGTGGTGGCTGGTGTTGGGTGGTAAAAAAAAAAAAACAAACTCAAAACTCAAAGCGGAAACACATTTTTTGGACAAATTTATAAACTGAGACCGCTGATTTATAAATCAAAAATTTTACCAAGCAAGTTTTTATTTGAGTTTTTAAAATTTTTGTAAATATAAACAAAAAAAACGTAAGTGTTACCAAACAGCACCTAAGAGTTTATAAAAAAAAAAATGTGTGTGAAATATAATGATGTTATATAATATATATGTTCTATTTGATAGTATTTATAAGTTACTTTTTCAGTTTATTGGTTTTTTAAAAAAAAATTAATGGTGTTTGATTAAAATTTTTATTTAAATTTAACCATTTAAAGATAAAATTTAAAAAACAGAGATGATTTTTTTAGTCAATAAATCAACTTTCTTAACACCTACTTAAATTATATTTTTTTCATATAATTTTATAATTTTATCATTCAAACCGTGCCTGACCTTTCTGTAAGGACAACTAGGGATGGCAATTGACATCCAATTCATTTGTTACTATAAGTTACTTTTTCAGTTTATTGGTTTTTTAAAAAAAAAATTAATGGTGTTTGATTAAAATTTTTATTTAAATTTAACCATTTAAAGATAAAATTTTAAAAACAGAGATGATTTTTTTAGTCAATAAATCAACTTTCTTAACACCTACTTAAATTATATTTTTTTCATATAATTTTATAATTTTATCATTCAAACCGTGCCTGACCTTTCGTGTAAGGACAACTAGGGATGGCAATTGACATCCAATTCATTTGTTACCCATGAAAATCCGACCCGATTGTACGGATTTTTTCCACTTTTAATATCCATTGGATTGACCCGATTGTACGGATTTTCTCCACTTTTTATATCCATTGGATTGGGCCAGTGGTATGCTTTAAATCTCCAGTGGAAATGGGTTGGGGAGGGATACTCTGTCATTTCCCCATATGGCTTTTTGACTACCATGCTTGATCAGTGTTCAGCTCCAGTAGACCCAGCTACATCTACATCAGCTGCACCAGTTCCATCAGCTACAGCATCAGCTGCACCAGCTCCATTAGCTACAGCATCTGCTACACCAGCTGCTACATCAGCTACACCTGCTACATCTCCAACACCTACTACATCTTCAGCTACAGCAGCTCCAGCTGCATTTGCTACATCTCCAAGTTTCTCTCTCTCTCTCTCTCTCTACTGTCTTCTGTTTGTAGTTAGATTGTCATTTCTCAGTGTCTTTCACTCCAGCATTGGCAATTTGTGACGGGGACGATCTAGTGTGGAGATTTCCGTCGGTGCTTATGACGGTTGTTGAGTTTCTCGCTCTCACTCTTTGTTTCTTTCTTGTCTCTCCAATATTCTGAAGTCTCAATGACATCTGAGAGGAAAGGAAAGTAGATAGTTGTTTACTAGCAATGTTCAAAGAAAGGACAAACAAAAAGAAAAATATAAACAAGCACATTGAAAAGGGATTTCTGGAAAGTTTTTTTAAAAACTTGTTGGCAAATCTGTTTTGGAAGCCTTTCAAAAAAAATGCAAGGTTTGGATATGATTCATGTATTGTTGTTTTTATAACTTCTCTCTCTTACACTCTCACTCTCTCTCTCTCTCTCTCTCTCTCTCTATATATATATATATATGAATCTATATCTCTAACTCTGTGCAAGATAATGAGGGGAAGTGATTGCCCACCATTTTTGTACAAGAAGGGTGATTTGTCCTCTGTGGAGGGGTGATTTGTCCAAGATAGTACTCTTGTTGTTTCTAAATTTTCATGAAAAAGTGCAAATGTTTTTTCAAGCTATCTTGTTCATGCTGCAGAAATCAAACATATAATGAGCTCTTCACATGAGTTCTTAAATTGGTTTCCTTTGTTTAGTTTGCTTACCCTCCTCCCTTTTTACTCTTTTGTTAATTACATTAGAAATTTCTTGAAACTTCTGTTGTTCTTTGGGTTCATTGTGGTTGTACAAAACTTGTGTGATTTTTGGGTCAGTATAATATAGTCATTTATGTTTGATTGTGTCAAATAAGCTTTTTTTAATTAATTAATTAATGTATATTTGATTTTGTTGTTGAATAAATAAAAAATAAAGAAATGCATATTTGACTCTTTGGTTGTGAACCTTGAAAAAAAAAACAAAAAAACAAAACTGGGTCAAGTTGGGTTGGGAAAAACCCAAATCGATTAAGGAATGGAGAGGGTAGTCCCCATGAGAGATGAGGAATGGCGAAAAATTATAATAGGAGAATAGAGATGGGAAATTAATATTCGTCCGGTTGCCCCCCATTGCCATCCTAGGAGCAACATATCACAAGGAAAGTGGCTGAGCCATAATTAATGAATTAGTATTGGACAAAACATTTCTTACACCAACCTCACCTGCGAGATGCCCAATTCAGAAAAGCCTCCAACCGATTAATAAATCAGTACATTAGCTTAAAAAAATTATTTTGTTAAAAGAATTTAAAATCATTTAGTGTATACATTTCTTGCAGAAAGAAATAATTATTTTTAAAAGTCAATAAAAACTAATATTAATTACTTGAAAATTTGAAAAAGTCTCGATTTTTTTAAAAAATTTTGATAATCATTTTAAAAGTAAATAGAAAACTAATATTTTGTTAAAAAAATTCAAATGTAAAATTAATTAAATCCTATTTTTGGTCAACTATATCATAAGAAAGTTGAATGGCTTAGTGATTTAATCCATTGAAAAAAATTTAGTTAATAAATTGAATTATTCATGTTTTATTAGCAAATTTACAATTAAAAATATTAGAAGGGTGATTTTTTTTTTTTTTTTTTCACTTTTCATTTAGTACTTGACCTTCAATTATTTTGATTATTTTGTTACTGTAAATTTTGTTATACATTTAAGTAAATTTTAATAATTATATATAAAAGTAACATTTTCATTAAGCACATTCAAATATAAATAAAACAAATTACCTAATATTTTGCTCATAATTTTTATTTTAATTTCTTCTTAAATAAAAATTATTTTCTTCTTAAATGCATGAGAGTATTGAGTACGTCTATATTCTCTCTCTCACTCGCTTTCTATATATATATATATATATATATCGCATGTTGCTACTGTCTGTCACTAACCTCACCCATACCTCCAATCTCTCTCTCTCTCTCTCTCTCTCTCTCTCTCTCTAGTAGCAAGGTGGATGGGCTTTTCAACTTAGATGCCCTGTGTCCCAGCTCTCTCTATGGTAGCAAGGTGGGTGGGTTTTTCAACTTAGACGCCCTGTGTCCCAGCTCTGTCTATAGTAGCAAGGTGGGTGGGTTTTTCAAGTTAGACGCCCTATGTCCCAGCTCTGCCAGTTGTAGACCGCGTCACTCGCAGTGTCGCCTCAGTCGCCAGCCTCAACCATTGCCCATCTTTCCAATCTTCTTCGGTCTTCAATGAATCTAAGGGTAAGCATTCTTTTCCTTTCTTCTTTCTTTCTTCTTCTTCTTCTTTTTTTTTTTTTTTTTTTTTTGTGAATCTTGATTTGCTGGTTGTTGCTCACTGCTTTTCTTTAAAAAAAAAGAAAATAAGACTTTGTTGAATGTTTGAATGTTGTAGTTCTACAACAAGAGCAATATTGATGTTGTTGTAGAACTCATAATCATACTGTCACATTTCGTCTAGCATATTACACGTATGGACAAGTATAAATAAATAATCAAAAAATAGTTTTTAAATTTAAATAATAATATAAAATTTATCTAAATATGTAATAAAATGATTTATAATCAATTAAATTTTATTTATTTTTATCAAAGTTATAATTCAAAAATAAATTACAAAAGTTATATTTATGATAAAATATAAATACATTTTATTTTATAAGTTCCGTAATCTTAATTTACCATATGATAATAGTAAATTACATTTGTTAATACACTAATATTTTCTTATTTTGTAAAGTCTAAAAAAATTTCTACTCAAAATTGTTAGAAGTTAGTTGACTCAATATTTATGTCAATGTGACATTCATCTAATTATTAAAAATTGTCTTGATCTATATCTAACTTATGAATCATTTGACCTATTTATTTATTAAATTAGTAAATAAAAAATTTGTAAGTATTTTTTATAATAAATCATATGAACATATTTTATGCATATTTATTAAAAAAAATTGAACTTAAGTAAAAAATTATATATACACTATGAAATGAATAGTTATTTATATTTATGTATAATTTTTTTTATTTTATTTTTTTATCTAAGGTAAAATCACCTTAAATTATAGGTCATATTCTAGTCTTAATCTTACACTTAATCTATAAAATTGATAAGTTAATTTGTAAAAGCGTTTGATAATTATAAATTTAAACATTATGTATAAATTATATCATTGATAAGTAGAATATTTTATAATAATCAATTCAAATTGACTAAAATATCAGACGTTTTTACACTTAATTTATAATTAGTCAATTTGAATTGATTATTATAAAATATTCTACTTATCAATGATATAATTTATACATAATGTTTAAATTTATAATTATCAAACGTTTTTACAAATTAACTTATCAATTTTATAGATTAAGTGTAAGATTAAGACTAGAATATGACCTATAATTTAAGGTGATTCTATCTTAGATTAAAAATATATATATATATATATACATAAATATAAATAACTATTCATTTCATAGTGTTAACATAAATATACATTTTTTACTTAAATTCAAATTTTTTTAATAAATATGCATAAAATATGTTCATATGATTTATTATAAAAAAATACTTACAAATATTTATTTACCAATTTAATAAATAAATAGGTCAAATGATTCATAAGTTAGATATAGATCAAGACAATTTTTAATAATTAGATGAATGTCACATTGACATAAATATTGAGTCAACTAACTTCTAACAATTTTGAGTAGAAATTTTTTTAGGCTTTACAAAATAAGAAAAAATTAGTATATTAACAAATGTAATTTACTATTACAACATGGCAAATTAAAATTACAGAACGTTTAAAATAAAATGTATTTATATTTTATCATAAATATAACTTTTGTAATTTATTTTTGAATTTTTATTAATTAAATTATGACATGTATTTTTTATTAAGAATCTAGAACACACAATTGTTGATATCAGAATAAAAACTCTCTTATGTGTAACTTTGATAAAAATAAATAAAATTTAATTGATTATAAATCATTTTACTACATATTTAGATAAATTTTATATTATTATTTAAATTTAAAAACTATTTTTTGATTATTTATTTATACTTGTCCATACGTATAATATGCTAGACAAAATGTGACAGTATGATTATGAGTTCTACAACAACATCAATATTGCTCTTGTTGTAGAACTACAACATTCAAACATTCAACAAAGTCTTATTTTCTTTTTTTAAAGAAAAGCAGTGAGCAACAACCAGCAAATCAAGATTCACAAAAAAAAAAAAAAAAGGAAAAAGAAGAAGAAGAAGAAGAAGTCATCTAAGACGGTTCAGTTATATTCAACAAAAACAATATAAGCACCAGTTTAGAGGAGTGATATGCCTAAAGTTTGCAATTTGAATGCGCTTAGAGGACAAGAGGAAGCCCAAAAAACATGGGTCAAGGCTGCGAGAGAAGACATAATTACCTAGGATCTAATTGAAGAAACAGATTGGTCTAGGAAATAACCACATGCAGTCACCTCAAGCCCAAGAGCAACCGTGGGAATCTGGGACCATAACTTTCAAGCACCAACATCTCTCATCAGGAAAGTTTGGAGCTAATTAAACATTATTCAGCAACACAAGGGCAAAAAGGAAACTCAATTGCAATATTTCACATTTCACATATTTAACGAAATGAACATTTCAGCAACGCAGAACACCTTCTTACTAAAGATTTAACCATTGAACATTGAAATTAAGAACAGAAGACAAAAAATGACACCAGTGAAGAAATTGCAGAACAGTCTAAATATGTCCCTTTTTTTCCTTTTTTTTTGCTTTTTCCCTGCTTTTTTGGTGCCTAACTACATAATTTCCAGGAAGATTATACTGTCTTTGGAAGTTAAACGAGATTCAATGTAAATAGTGTCATATGGAATGAAAAAAGTACCGCGTGTATGAATTTAAAATTTTCCGGAGGTAGGCCAGCAGCTGCTGCAGCTGCCTGTGCATACTTCTCCATCTTTCTGTTGGGATCTATGCCAAAAACACGAACACCATTATCACTGGCATAATATTTGAGATTAGGACCTGTCCCAATGCCAAGCTCCAACACTGTCTTATCCTTTCCCCTCAAATTTGTAAAGATCTGAGACTTAAAACCCGCAACCTTACCAAAGAATAGGTGCATATTAGATATGCACATGGTTGAAATTTCAGTAACAAGAACGTGGGGCAAAATCAATACTTGCACACCCTGGTCTAATTGTGAAAAAAAAAAAAAAAGAAGAAGGCACTAACCTTTGCCTCATATGCTTTACTGCCCTTAGCCATGACAAATGCAAATAATTCCTCATACCAATCTGGCCTTGGAGGGTGAATACTGTTCATCACATCCTGTATATGCAACGTGTCATTTTTAATGCTTTGCTGCTGCTAAAACATTTGATGCTTTTAACTGAAATCACAACCATCCCAAACATATTGTCTATGTTCCGGTTCTGGTTTTAACTGCATCCACTATTCAACTTGGTAGAGAAATTCAAGTTTGCTTAACAAATTTCATAATTGTGTGGCCAAACATTTGATGTTAGAGTATGATGCAAGTCGACAACATAGATACACGACTTCCACATAAACTTGGTGGGTATATTAATATTTATCAAAACCTTCCCCTACCATGAATTCCATGTATAAAGAAAGCAGTGGAAAGAGTAATGAACCTTAGGATCATCTTCATCAAGATGCGGAGGAGAAGCAGAGGAAGGAGGAATTGGTAAGGAACTGGTTCCAATTTCTTCCATTAAGCGTCTTCTTCAGCAATAGCAGAATCTGTGGGCGCATAAAGAGTCCGGAGAGAGAGAGAGAGAGAGAGAGAGAGATCTTCACCCGCTAGTATATATATACATGAAAGTTCTTACCAAGGTTGAATTAATGGTTGACTGTGTAAGTAGAAGGTACTTTACACAAGATCAACATGGCATACGAAAAAGGTGTTGGGATCTGGGATCCCGCCCAAGACTTTATAGAAATCATTGCAAGCAGAAAAACACACCCACACACAAGGAGACACAATATTTTACGTGGTTCGGCCCAATGCCTACGTCCACGGGAGAGTAACCGGTTATCACTATACCAATGAGGAGATTACAGAAAGATTACAATAGAGGAGGAGCTCACACTCTCCTCACTCACCC